GCTGAATTTTTATCAGTCTAATCTACATAGAGGCAGAAAGATAACTTCAGGAAATAAATAGGCGGTGTGTTTTTTTCTCCCCATTTTGCAGTGCTGCTGAAGTAATTAGAGCATAGACAACAGTTTATTTTTAAAAAAGAAGAGTTGAGGCAGGGTATCTAGAGGTAAATTGTTAGTATGTTCTCAGGAACTTTCTGACCATGCCAATTTTTTTCTCAGTCTGTAGATTCCAGTCTTGGGGGACTTTCCAGGTCTAGTACTGTGGCTAGTCTAGATACAGACTCCACAAAAAGTTCAGGTATGTAATCAGAGTTTGAGCAGATATGTATGGAACAGGATTAACTGTATCTGTGTTTGTATAAAAGAGTAGAAAATGGCAGAGGTTAAAATAGGTATTTTTAATAATTGTGAGTGCATCACATGCTCTAGGATTTTGCAGTATTGCTAATGATTCAGCTAGGATTAAGTTACTGTTTTTGAAGTAAAGTGTCCGAGTGGGGAAAAAAAAACAAACATGGTTGCAGTGTATTACACAGAATAAATCTGGTGTTAACTTTTTGGAAGCTGTTTCCTGCTTTTGTACGTCTACTTTTGCACTTCAATCATGGAAGTACTTGATTTCACTTGTTCTTGCTTACCAGATCACAGTGCATCACCACTGGACCAAACAATTCATTTAAAACCAATATTTATGGAAAAGCAGAACCAGCTTTTCCATGTTTTCTGATTCAAGGTTGTTAATTCCAAATTTGAGTTAGTATGAACAGTGCTGTATCATGGACTCTGTTGCTTTTACCAAGGGCTGTCCTGAATCAACCCAGGGCAGTTCATTAAAGAGAGGAGCTAATACACTGTGGTAAGGTTCAGTATTTGATGAAAGTACAAAATTATGGAATCTAATGTTAGCCCCATTGACATCAATCCAAATAGCTTTACACTTCTGGAATTCTTCAGAGTTACTTTTTTTTTTATTTTGTTGCAGGACAAAGCAATAGTAATTCTGATACGTGTGCAGAGTTCAGAGTTAAATATGTTGGTGCCATTGAAAAACTGAAACATAATGAGAGCAAAAGCCTCGAAGGACCATTGGACTTGATAAATTACATAGATGTTGCACAGGTAAGTGGGTTACAAAAGACAACACCAACAATGTCAGAACACCTGAAGCTTAGATCTATTTTTTTGTATCATCACATGATCTGACATCTTTCCCTGTAAGTGTTAAACTTACTAGAATAAGGCAGCTAACTTCAAAAACCATTAAGTTATAAATTTCAAAAGTTGTCATGCTTAGTTCCATCCTATCAAGTAACAGAAGATGCACCCAAAAAGCCATTCTGAAGAAGCAGGCTCAGAGCAAAGGCTTTTTTTCTGAGTCAGTACTCATGAAACAAGTGTCCTTGTTGAATTGAAAGGTGTTATATTGTCTTCAGCACTGTTGGGATTTGTTTCTGGGAAGGAGTATCTCCTCTAGTTTTCCTCAGTACTGCAGAAGTTTGCCCATAGAGGAAAATGTCAAGTGTCTGCCTACCATCACTTAGGAACCTGTGACCAAAGAAGCTGAATAATATTCAGGTCATCCTTACCAAACTGGTTGCTTGTGCTTATTTTTGTACTAGAAGACATAACTGGTTGTTCTCATTAGGTAGCTGATTGTTTCTTTAAAAGCACAGAATATCTGTTTCTGTTACAGCAACTTGACATTTCAAGTATCTGAATATACACTAGAACTATTTTCACAGCCAAACCAAAATTGCTGCTGGTGTGGAACATCACCTAGGGTCAGCACCCGATGGTAGGTCATGCATTATTTTTCAGCCCATCTGATTTGACCACAGGTCCAAATTTCCCCCTGAGATGATACTTTCCTTCCTGGAGTGGTGTAATATTTAGAACAGAACAGAACAGCCTGTTTCAATTGGAAGGGACCTACAATGATCATCTAGTCCAACTGCCCAAACAATTCAGGGTTGACCGAAAGTTAAAGGCTGTTGTTGAGGGCACTGTCCAAATGCCTCTTAAATACTGAGAGGCCTGGGGCATCAACCCCTCCTTAGGAAGCCTGTTCCAGAGTCTGACCACCCTCTTGATAGAGAAATGCTTCCTAGAGTCCAGTCTGAACCTTTTCTGAGTATGTTTCATGTCATGTTAAGAACCTGGACGAGTGCCAGAGTGGCAGGCAGACTCCATGCAGCCAGATAGCAGCAGGGTTAGTGCTGTTGCAGTGGACTGAAGTACACATAAACACGTCTTCTATTATGTGTCTTTGCTGTTCATGTTCTTCTGTCTGCACTAAAGGCTTTTGTTTGTTTTCTTCCAAAGCAAGATGGAAAGTTACCTTTTGTTCCAGGTGAAGAGGAGTTTATTATGGGAGTTTCCAAATACGGCATTAAAGTTTCAACGTCTGATCAGTATGTAAGTGACTCACAACAAATTGTCTTCTTGGTGGGAGTTGAAAAGTGCTTTCATTTATTTTTCTTTATAGGTGATCTGTGTGACCAAAATGTCACTTCTGGCTTTAGGTAAAACAATCGATCAGTCAATCAAAACAGCTCTCACAGCAGCAGCACTTCATGTCGCATCTCCTCAGGTCTCTCTGTGTTCTCCTGGTTGGCTTGGTTGGATTTATGACAAAAAAATCCATTGGTGCTTTGTCTCCTTTTGAGACGAAGCACCAGACAAAAGGCAAGCAAGCCTTTATGCTCCTTGGGCACATCATCCTTTCTCTGTGGCTGCCCTGTCATCATGGAAAAGTAGTGACTGTGGTGGCCAACACCGCAGGTTCCTCAGCCTGAGGTCGTAACGCAACTCCTGTTGATGTTGTGGAGAGGAAAATACAAAGGATGTTTTTTCAAGAATACCTTCCTCTTTCAAGTTTCAGCCTTGCAATCCTAATCCAGGCGTGGGAGTTCACGCCAGCTTTAAAGCCTCATGATCATCCCACTTTATTGATCAGGCCTATTTTTTTTTTTTTTTATCATTTCCTACGTGTAGTTTATTTTCCTTTAGCACACTTTAGGTAGCTTTTTGCTAAAACTAAAAACCCCATCTCTTCCCCAGGGCTCTCTAGTTGCCTTTCTGTAGCTTTGTATTGCAGCAGTGTGGTTTCCCTCTGGTTGCTCTGAGAACCCTAGATACCATAAATACTTTGCCTTATGAAGTCATGACCCATCAGCAACCCAGCAATACCTCTTCCTGAAAGCCTAGAGATGAGGACAGTGAAGAGCATTGCTCAATGAAGAGAGCCAAAAAATATCCTTTGGTCCCTTCAGAAAGTAAAACACTTATTTTTAATGCCTGGGAAGAATGGTAGTAGTTGTTACTTAAACTTTGAATCCCTTTACGTTCTGTTTTTGCTGTCCTTCTAAATTAGTAATTCTTATTAAGAACATGGGTTACACTGTTATTTCAATTCCTTCGTACTTTGATAAAGATCAGATAAGTAATTTTAAGAGTTTTATCCATTATTCTTCTGTCCTTGAGCTGAAAGCAGACACAAGCTGATCAAGCCTTCAATGATTAAACTAGCTTGCACTGGTGTTTGATTGTGTTGCATTCTGTTTCCCAAATTCAGGCTTTTTGCATTTGTGTCACTGTTGATTTGATTTGTCCTTTAGTGTCAGTCCACCTAACCCTTTCGTATTGTTCCAGGAGAGAAGGGTTTTCTCTGCACTCGTACATAGAATTCAGTCTTTTATTACTCTGGGGGAAAGGGGAGTTGTGTGATCTGTAGGGACCTTTGCAGGTGAATAGGCAGCTGTTTCTTTCAGACACCAAAAAGAGAACTGACTGCAGGATACTGAATTTTTCCTTGTGGATTTCAGCCAATGTTTGAGAGGTTGTTTCATTAGTGACTGAAATATGTACAGGTATGTAATTCACTGGCACATTTTAGTTGCTGGTGGGTGCATCTGCTAGAAACAAGAGGCAAAGTAGGTGTGGAAGTGAGGCCGAGGCTTTGGCCGCCTCCATTTGCTGTATTTGTACGGTATTTATATGCGTATAATGTACAGAGTTTGTCTATCTGCCACCACATTTCTCTCTCAACTGCAGATTGAGAGCCTGGCCAGATACAGGAAGGAGGGGAGGCAATTAATTTACAGGGGGACTGAATACTTAAAAAAATTCCATCCTCCCTCTTTTAGCAATAATCCACATGCACATTAGCACTGTAGCAAATTCCAAGTAAGTAACTTGAGAATTTGCAAGTAATTTGGAGGGAAATCTTGGCATCTTTCATACAGAGAGTGGGGGGTTGATCCCACTAAGTTCCACATCAGCTGCCTTGAAGTTGTAAGACCCTAGAAGTGATATTTCTGGAGTAAACCAGATTAATGGTATTGCTTGGGTAGGATGGCTCGAGTAGAAAAGCTTTGCGTAGGGGAGGTCTGCAGAGACCTGGCACTGGATGATGCCAACCAATCCCTTTTTGCAATGGCCAAGTTCAGAACTGTCAGGACTACAGTGAAACCCTACATCTGTAGAAGTCTGGAATTCCAGAGGATCTGGCTCAGGCCACAAATGGCCTGGCTGTAGCGACGTGGCTACACACCTCCTCACCCCCCAAAGCAACTAACCTTTACCTATGCCCTCTTCTGGGAACAGTTTCTTATGTGGACCCTTCCCTGAACTGAGAGAGGGGATTGTCTGGAAAAATCCTGGAAAAGTAAGAAGTTGTTTTAAGTTAGTAGAGAGTATGCCACCTGACCTCCTCAGGTAGGAAATAAACAAGAGTGCACGTCCACGTATGAATGCAATTCTAGAATAAAACCAAAAATGAAACATAAAGCTGTGTTAAACCATTACTTAGTTTTTTAATGCCTAAACTCTCACTCCAATTATAATTTTACCAAGGAATACTTTTCTCCTGTAAATAAATCTGAAGTACTCTTTTGTAAGAGAGAGAAGCAAAAGGGGTGGGAGAGGGGTCTGGGTGTTGCAGTGTTGCCGAGTAACCGTGGTTTGCCGTTGCAGAACGTGTTACACAGGCACGCCCTCTACCTGATTGTGCGGATGGTCTGCTACGACGATGGCCTGGGGGCAGGGAAAAGTTTACTGGCTCTGAAGACAACAGATGCAGCCTCTGAAGAATGCAGCCTCTGGGTATATCAGTGCAATAGTTTGGTAAGAATTTATGTTTACAGTATTTGATTTAGGTACCTGTGTTTGGATTGTCAAGGGGGATTGTCAAGCCTTGTGAAGGCTTTTTAGCAGAAGGAGACTGGCTCAATTTTAAAAAAGTAGAGGTGTGCCCTGGGTGAGGAGGGGAGAAGTGCCCTGCAGACTGCTTTTCATGGCTTTGAGGAAGAATACCTACATTCCTTAAAACTGCCAGTGAGTGTACATGCCCGAGGAAGCTCTTTGCAATCTAAAGGGTGCAGTCAGAGATGCCAAGGACAATCCTCCCTTTGTATTTTCAAAGACAAAAACCTCTTAAGAGCAGGGAGAGATGGAGTAACAGTTCTGGTAATGGAGCATGCATTCTTATTTATAGGCAAGGGAAGCGATCCCTTCTTAAGAGCAGGAGAATTATGGTCTAGACCCTATGGTATGACACACCCCCTTGGGAGCACAGGGGGAACAGGAGCTGGCTCTGAAGACTAGTGTCAGGCCATGATGAAAGCTAACAACTCTGACTTGTTTCGAAAGAGCTCATTTAAAACAGCTTCCCACATGTCCCTGCAGACCACAGAAATCGAATTAAATCTCACTTGTGCCTACTGCATTTTGCATGTCTCTGCATAAAGAATGGTAAAGGTCACGTTCTGCTTTAAATAGGTTTTGAGAAGTTGGAAAGTTCTTCAGAAAGCACTAATGTGCATGTTTGGTTTTTTTTTTTCAGGAACAAGCACAAGCTATTTGCAAAGTGTTATCTACAGCCTTCGATTCAGTTTTAATGTCAGAGAAGTCCTGATTTTCTTCAGCAGCAGGAGACTGGTAAAGAGAGGCCTTTGTGTGGGGAGGAATTGGGGCTGGGGCTTCCCTGTGACATCACAGCCTGGCTGTAGCTGCCCACAAACCTAGAAGAGTCGCTGTGCAAAGAAGAGCCATGCAACCTTGCACTTGGTACTTTGTCCTGCCCCAGATATGACTTGAAGAAATTATTCCACCTTCAGTTTCCAGAACAATAAAGAATTTTATATTTAACTTTTTTTTTTCCAAATCTTGTATTGTATATTAATGTCAATATTGTAGAAATGTAAAATAAAACTGACATTCTCTTCTTTCTCTTTGTCTGAAAAACAATTTGATAAGACAGACTTTGGTTCTGCTTAACTTAGATACTGGATCAAAACAACAAAAGCAAAGCAATAGGAGGAAGTTATTTGGTGCCTTAAACCTCTGATTTAATCTCAGGTGTGTTGCCTACACTGTTTGTGTTCAACCAGAAATCCACAAGATGTACTTTTTGTTTTTTGCTTAAGTGCCACGTGTTCGTATTTCTCATTTTACACATTGAAAAACAGTATTGCCTAAGCAATGCAAAATAACAGAAGTAGCCAAAGTGATTTTAAAAGTAGTTTTATTTTTCCAGACATTTGACTGGTTAACAAGAGTAAAATTCATTAATCATGCTCTAATTATAAATCACTGCATCCAGGACATTGAAAATAAGAGTTGATTTTAGGTTATACAATATATACAGTTGCTCTGCAACTAAACAAAATAAAACCAACTGAATTGAATATTATACATCTCATAGCATTCTAAGCTGCATTTTAAGTGTCACTTGCTCCTTTTTAAACAGTTAACACAGCAACCTAATAGTCTGTCTACTAACAGATTTTTTGACTCATTGTTTTAATTAGATCTGAAAAGTTGTATGAAATACACCAAAATTTTGGACTTAAAATTTTTTATTTTATATTATAAATAGATATCTACAGGCTCTAGAATTTCTTTTGCCTCTGCCAGAGGAGCAAACGTTTGAGAAATATGGAAAATCTAGGGATAAATTTTGCTTAGCTGCTCTTTATTGGTCCTCAAGATTTTATGCCTGCACTGTTGGTGCTGTTAAATTGTATTCCCAGTTTCTAAGCGACCAGTGAACAAGGTTGTGACATTTTAAAGTGGATTCCTCTTCTAGCAGAACTCAAGGAAATTTGCAACATTGTTTAACTTTACGAATTGTTACATATACTATAAGATTCTGTGTTAAAAATACTGTACATAGGAGATCTGTGCAAAATAATATTCCCATTTACTCTCTAGACTCTATCAGGGATAGAAACATACAAAATAGTGTTGCAAACTGAAGGTATCAGTAAGTGAATAAACTGTAGTGCTGAACTATTACTCTATCCTTTTCTGGGAACTTTGAAAATACGGACTAATTTGCTTCAACTTGCAACAAAAATATCTCAAAACGTTCCAGTTTGTTCCCCATTTACACTGCAGCAACAGCATTTTGGAAACGAAAGTTCCTGGTGAAGTTCCTGGGGCGTACCTGGCTGCACCCAGGCGTTTGAGAGGCTGTACCATTTAGGAAGGTGACACAGGGGCAGTGAGGGCAGTGTTGCTCTTCCAGCGCTAACCCAGCGTGATTTTTCTCCAAATAAGCAGTTACGGCAGTGGCCAATTTTCCACTCCGGTCACCGTCAAGTGGCCATTTGTCAGAAATTCAAAGTTCTCTTGATAAATCTAGAGATACAATATTCACAAAACGTGATCAAAGCCAATGTGACCTAGACGTTGTTTTTTCTTCCCCTATGCCATCGGTTGTTTCCTGTAGCGTAAGCAAAACCTGGTACAATTTCACAATATACAAACATCAGACTGACACCAGATTTGTGCCGGTGTTTTGTATTCCATCAACCGCCTCTCCACGGCCTAGCCTTTGTTCACACGTTAGCAGAACGAACTTAACAACAGTGTAGCTACCATATATGTGGGTATATTATACAAATACAGCGTGAGTTGGCAAACTATCATTGTTTGCAAGGTAGTGGCACAAAAACTGTATAAAATGGAACATAACGTAGTGTACTTGTGAGGTGTCAGATACCTTACTGACCAAGGGTCATTCTCTAAGTGTCCCACCAAACACATTCTCTCTGTGAACACATTGCCAGATGAATTGAGAAAATGCAAGAATTTAAAAACAAAGTCTAAATACTATAATGAGACAGATGTAAGAAATGCTCTGCAATCCATCATCATGGTTAAGTACATTTCAGGAAATGCAGTTTCCATATCCTCAAGTTCATGGAGTAACTCGTTAATATTGCCATAGTTCAGTTAACCAGCAGTAGTCACATTAAATGACCAAAATGGATGCAATGTACATAAAGAACATTCAAAAAACAGGTTCTACACACGTGCAGCATAGAAAAATGAAACAGTCTCAAGCCCACAAAATTAGAACCAGAAAGTTCAAAGACTAACACAGATTTCTGATAACTTTAAGCAAATATCTACATCCATTCTGAAAGAAAAAAGCTTCTCCTGTGGTAAACTGAAATACTTTTTCACTTCTATCTGGCCAAAGACACCCGATTAAAATCGTTTCTTCTGTAATTGCTGACATCTTGGATGAGAGCCAGCATGGCAAGATGCTGAACGAGTCCAATTTAGAACTATGCAGCAGCTTGCGTGTTTTGGTTCCAGCACTTCAAAAGGTCTCAGGAATTGGGTGAGTTCACTGCCCTGTTGGATGCACACAATCTCTTTGACTGGGGAAGCAACACTCAACTGTGGTATTGTCACGTTACAAAAGGGGGAATAAAATTACAGTGAATTGATTGAAAAGAACATTTGTGACATTGTGATGTTCACTCACATGGATTTTGATTGTTAAAGCTTTTCAGTTCACCTTGAAAAACACAGGAAGAGTTGGTTTAAGTGTAAACGGCTCACGAGAAGTTTTCACATAGAAAAAAGTTTTAAAAGTCCCAAAATCAGAACAATGGCAATAAAAAAAGTACAGTACCTAGGACTTGGGCAGTGCTCTGGCAAGGTGTCTGCAGATAGGTAAATGAAATGAAATAGAGAAAAACTTATTTCTGTGACTGCTGGAAATGAGAAATGTCTCCACTTATCAGTAGCAATTCAGTCAACAATAAAGTGCACAAATGATACAGGGAAAGCTCCTTTCCGACTGGGATCTCCATCAATATGGCCAATCTGAAAGAGTCCAGATATTTTTCCAGTTAAACTCAAAATGGCATTTCAGTAGCACCAAAAAGAATACCAGTGACCTTCTTGCCTGTAGTCTGACAAGCCCCTCCCTACACATTTTCTGCAATAGTGGCAGCTTTCTTTTGTGAACAGAAAAATTCAGTCCTACAGAGTGCATGTTTTTCAGCTAGACATTTTCAAAATTTTTTCTAATTTAAATGTTTTATCCAATTCTTTGAAAGTGGTACTTCACACAGTACCACTGGTGCATCATTTCAGTGCACTCTGTAACTCCTGGCAGCCCACATTCTGCCTCTGGTAAGCGGCTCCTGCTTCCCCCTTTGAACAATGACCAAAAGGTAAGAGGGTGGATGGATCAAGCTTCAACAGTTTTGTGTTCCACATGTATCTATTTGTGTTTGTACAGCATTATTGTCAATTCAGATGCAATCTGAAGTTCTATTCTTGGCTAGCTAACAAAGTAAGACAATTGTTTTAATGCCTAGCAATTTCCCAAGACTTTGCTTTAGCTGAGGGGACTTTGTAATGTATGGCTGAGATGGTCCCCCAGCTCAAAGAGACCATTTCTCAATCTCAGTCAGCTGAAGAATCTGGACAATACAAAGCTGTCTTCTGAGGCTCACAACAGTAGCAGTTTCTTAAAATGCTGACAGCCTCCAAAAGTTTCCTGAATCAGAGATTCTGTTACCTGTGTATTGTGAACCCTAATAATCAAACTTTTTTTTTTTCTGTATGAGAAAAGCTAAAAACTTCTCTGAAGGTGTCTTGTTGGTTTTATTTTTGTGGTTTTTTTTAAAAGAAAAAAAATTTCTGGAATCAGGTTTCCACAAGATGAAACTTTTCTTGCTATTTGGAAACCCAGTGGGAGATCTTCCGAACTCTGTGTCAACCTCTAGATTTCGTTTGTTTCTTTCAAAGTAAATAGAAAAATGCAAAATACTCACCCACCACTCCTGATCTTCTTCACCATCAACTACAATAATATCTCCCTCTGAAAAAGTTAGCTCATCTGGGTTATCTGCTACACAGTTGTAAATGGCTTTTACTCTCTTGGGTTTCGTTTTTGACTGAAATATAAAAATAAGTACATGCAAATACTACAGCATGGAACAGACAGAATAGATTTGGAGTTGTCTAAAGAAAGCTTCAGAACTGCTTCCAGATGTTATTTTTCATAGGTTAAGAGTTCAGCGGCATCTTTTATGCTGGGTGCTCATGCTTTAGGCAGAATTTGACAGCATCCAAAGCCTTCTGGAAGCACTACGCCACCTACATGGGCCAGGTTTCCCTTAGCAATCTTCCATTTTGGCTCATCCAAACCTGTCTTTACAGCTCTACATCAGTGCAGCAAGTACCGTTTTGTTCAGAAGATGGAGTGACCAAGTGATGAAGTGCTACACAGCAAATGTAACAGCAGCAGCATTAGCAGAAAAAGGCCTGAGCCACCTGCCAGGATGCCCTTGCTTAATTTGCTAAACCCTTTTCAGCAATGTACAAACCTTCTGAAACATCCTCTGCCTCTCTGTAGTGCTTCCAGCACTCCAACCCTGCAAGAGGAGTGGTTTGGCAACACCTCCAATGGCAAGTTCAGTAAGGAGCTGCAATATTCCAGTATTGCAGTGGGACTCCAATCCTAGCTGTGTTCTATCTGAAGCGATGCCAAAATTGTTTTGGTCTGGTATCACAGTATCCACCATCCTAATCCCACACCTCTGCCAGTGCAACCTGGCCTGCTGCATTTGTTTTCAGCCTCTTCCTCCTCTGTTGCAGACCAACGCCAATGCTACCCACATTAGTGTTTCCATGTGGAGAGGCACAGGACCTGGAGGCAGCGCATGAGCTTTCTATTATGAGCCCACCCTTTTCCCCACTCTGCCCAGCCACAGCCAGCAACAACCTCCTAAGGCATCAGAGCAGAGCTAAGTGATATTTAGGTCAAGAGACATCTGCTAATGCAATGGGCGTTTGGGACAGAGGCTCCAGATGGGATAAGGAAAAGAAGGCCTCACTACCATCCTGGAGTCCCACAGGTGCTGTTCCCAGTCTCTAGTTAGGTCAGTCATGGAGCAGGAAGCTTGCAAGGGTAG